TATATACGCTCTAAATAACGTTTTTATGCATGTTAAAATTTCATTTTTTATAAGTAGGATATATTTTGGGGGCATATACATTGACTCCATTTTATACCTGAAAAGTTATAGTATCTTTCTTCTTTTTTGGCCAGTTTTAATGGAATGAATTGTATGTTGTATATTGGCTACAAATTAATGCGGTTTAGTTGCAATAAATGCATTTTTTTAATGGTCAAAGTTATCATATTTGTATAAGGTGACTACCCTGAACGGGGAAACACAGGAATGGAACATATATATAGAGCTATTATTTCAGGGCTTCGGGACACATTTTTACCAGGGATGTGAAACACTATAATGAACAGCATAATATATATAAAAACTTGCTAGTATTATTAATACCTGCCAACAAGTTATGTAAATGCAATTCAGTTGTATTACTTTTGCTGTATATAATTTTATTATTTGACTTATGGCCCACTATATTTCTATTGGTGATATTTTACGTCGTCAGCACAAATTACAAATTTGTTTTAAATATCCAATTTATTGTGGAGGAACCAATGTAATTATTCGAAATTATGAACTTGTGCATGTATGTTTATGAATTAATTCAATATATTAGTATATTAGGATTTAGGGAGGTGAGAAATATAACATACAGAAGAAGGCGTGACAGACTCCAAAAAGTATATATATTCTTGATCAGGATGAGAAGACGAGTCTGTTGTTGGTTGTTCGAGCTCTTATACTTTTTGAGATCTTTGCGTTCATACAGAAGCACGGACAGACGGACGGACGGACGGACATGGCTATATCGACCCGGCTTATCATTCTGTCATCCATCTTTGTCCAAAATTTGGTGTCTCTAGCTCTTATAGTCTCTGAGATCCTGGTGTTCATACGGAGGGACAGAGGGACAGACACACAGATATAGATCGACTCGTCTTGTCATGCTGATCAAGAATATATATGCTTTGTGGTGTGTGCCACGCCTCCTTTTGCCTCTTACATTTTTCAGCTCCCGCAAACCTATAAAAACAAAAAATACTCCATATTTTTATGTCACAACTTATTTCTTCAAAGGCAAGAATATGTACTGCATACAATAAGCTGTGAGCCACTGTATGTGTATTGTGGACAATCGAACACTGTTGTGTAATTTGTAATAGTGCGCTATGGTTTTAAATGATAAATCAAATTTTAAAAACAACTGCAAGTCATTGGATCGGTCTTATTGTTCTTCTTTCATTCACTTTATTTCATCATTTACGTCTTTTTATACCCTGTACCCGTAGGGTAAAAATGGTATATTAAGTTTGTGCAAAGTATGTCCGTCCGTCCGTTTGTCCGTCCTTCTGGATGAACGCAAGGATCTCAGAAAGCTGGAACAACCAAAGTTGGTATGTAGGAGAATCTCCTAGGTCCGAGAAAGGAAAAATTTTGTTATTTTTAATTTTCCATCCCTTTCTACGCTACAGAATTTCGTCAATAGCGTCCACATTTCAAATGCTACCTAAGCCAAACTTTGCACACATAATTTATATATGTATAATTATCTACTGTTGTTCAATTTTATTCAATTTGGTCAGTAAACACCCACCCCGCATATAACTCAGTGACGGAAGTTTACCTGGGTACAGGGTATTACACTGCGGGCTTGCTGGAATGCAGCGTTCTCTCTTGTTATTGCTAGACAAAATGCCAAAAATTTACAGTTACCGTCGCTAGGCAACGACTCGGTAAGCGACAATAAAGCAGAAACTGAAAACGGACTACGCATATTTTGCTACGCATTCCGGCAGATGTATGCACATTGCACATTGGGCCAGAAAGCCGATTTTTGTGCATAAATTCGAAACGTGAAGTTAGAAACTTGAAATTTAGTACTTGTACTTGTAATGACATGCATAAGAACTGTGCTAAATTTTGGACCGATCCGACCAGAGAGAGAGAGAGACGCTACAGCCGAACCAGCCCGACAGTAAAATACCCTGTACTCCAGCAAAAAAGAAAAAAATATTTTAAAATATCTTCTAAACATAATTTATAAATAAATGTATTTAATTAATAAAAAAAAAAATATATATATATACATATATATATTTAATCCTTGGGACTGTGTGCTTGTGAGTCTGTTTACGTGATGTCCCCAACTATTTAATATTTGTTTTATTTGCTTTATATGCGAGTTGAAAGCCTTATTTCTATATTTTTAAATCGTTGAATACCAAGTAGTATATCTAGCAATTTTAAATTTGTAGCCCAAAATTTGAAATCGATCGGACAAAATTTATAACACAAACTTTTTATTGGAAAACAAGAAAGGAATGCTAAAATCGAGCAGGCTCAACTCTTAATTACCCTGTACCACCCCACAAAAAATAAATTAAATTAATTAATTAATTTAATTAAATTAATTAATTAAATTAAATATAAAATATTCTATACGTACATTTACATCATGAATCGTGTGTATGCGTGTTTGTGTACTTGTACATACATATGTGTGTATGTGTGCATTGGGCCTGGTTATATGGCTATAACTTTTTTTCTGATCAACCTATCATAATGAAAGTTGGTATACGGATATATATATCGCAAACTTAATGTGACCAAATTTTAGTTCAAAATTCCAAGAATTACGGGAGTTATAGAAAATCGTGAATAAGGTGGGTGTGGGGGGGGGGGGGGGGATCAGAAAAAGTGAACAAACTCGTCCTTTCTCGGGCTCAGGAGAATCTAGATACCAAGTTTGGTTATTCTAGCTCTTATACTTTCTGAGATCCTTGCGTTTATACAGACAGACAGACGGACATGGCTATATCGACTCGCCTTGTCATCCTGATCAATTCATTTGAATTTGAATTGATAGATTTGGTAGTCACATCCAATTAGTGATTATATATCTGTATATCAAGTTTCATTACAATAGGTTGATTACACAGAAAGTTATAGCCATATAACCAAGCCTAAGCTCTGTCCGCAGCTGTATTTGTTGCTGATTTGGCATAATTATTTAATGCACACATATGATGTAATGTAAATGTAAATTTATGTATGGAATATTTTATATTTAATTTAATTAATTAATTTTTTTTTAATAAATTTTTTGTGGATTGGCACAGGGTATTTAATTGTTGAGCCTGCTCGACTTTAGCATTCCTTTCTTGTTATACCCTGTACCCGTAGGGTAAAAAGGGTATATTAGGTTTGTGCAAAGTATGTAACATACAGAAGGAAGCATCTCCGACCCCATAAAGTATATATATTCTGAATCAGCATGACGAGAGAAATCGATCTAGACATGTCCGTCCGTCTGTCCGTCCGTCTGTCCATCTGTCCGTCTGGATGAACGCCAGGATCTCAGAAACTATAAAAGCTAGAATAACCAAAGTTGGCATCCAGATTCTCCTAGATCCGAGTAAGGACGAGTTTATTTTATTTTTTTTAATTTTCCCCCCCTTCCCCCGCTACAGAATTTTGTCAATAGCGTCCACATTTCAAATGCTACATAAACCAAACTTTGCACACATAATTTATAAATATCTAATAATATCTACTGTTGTTTAAAATTTTATTCAATTCGGTCAATTCTAAGAAAAGTTATTAGCGAAACAAATTCTCTCCAGTACAACCCCCACAAACTGCAGCAACAAGTTTGCTCTTCTTCTTCCTCTTTTTGTTGCTCCTTTGGCCGCATATAACTCAGTGACGGAAGTTTACCTGGGTACAGGGTATTACACTGTCGGGCTTGCTCGACTGTAGCGTTCTCTCTTGTTTTTTTTTTTTAAATTTCTATAAATATTCTACACACATGTACAGAGTATTTTAATGTAGGGACAGCCCCTATTCCACTTGTTTTATTTCTTCCGCCAAATAAAAAATGCCAAGGCCACGCTAAATCAGTGCTAGAAGCCTAACGTTAGAGAAAGAACGTTAAAAGTAGAGCTGAAATATATGAATACCCAACTGCGCGCGACACATGCTTTGGTTGCCTTCTCTTTCTTTGGCGACACAGTGGATATTTCTCAGAGGATATTTATTAAAAAGTAAACAAATTTTTAAGTGTTTTGAAGAATTTTCGATAACAATATATTGTCGGAAAAAAACTCAAACTCGTACTTTCTCTTCGGTTATTCTAAGACTTATACTTTCTGAGATCTTTGAGTTCATACAGACATATGTACATATGTATTTTATAATTTTTTTGATGCTGACACATATGTACATACATACACGCATAGAATCACAAAAACACAATTACTATGTAAATGTTCAGTTATAATCCATAAAAATTTTTCTTTTATAATATTACAATTTCGTTAAAATTCTATAATTATTATACGAAAGAAAAGTTGTTAGAGAAACAAATTCACTACAGTACTTCGCCCACATCTGGACACATACATACATGTGTATGTATAACTTGGTGCCGGAACTTAGTCTGGGAACAGGGTATTTTACTGTCGGCCTTGCTCGACTGTAGCGTTCTTCCTTGTTTTAATATTAATATGCGTATAAATTACTCGTGAATAAACTTTTACAATTATAATTATTCGTGCAAATGATTATTCTTATCATTGATGACAATAATTGTTGCCAAAAATGCTAATGGCATTGAACAAATAAGTAAGTTTTTTATTTGAATCAATCTTAAATTATATTATCTTAAAATGTAATTAGCAAATTAAAAAAGATGCAAGTCTCCTTTATATTATACAATATATCTATTGCAAACAATTTGTTGACATACTGTACATTCGTACCAGTGTGCACTGCACTGGAATGGCCTTGAATGAATAGTAAAGAATAAAAGAACCGTTAGAATTGTCAGCTCTGCCTTCTCTGCATTGTTTGATGATCAGTAAGCAAGTGAACGTCATAAAAATCGGTTGTGTTACCTTCTTCGGAACTAAAAATGTTTTACTTAATAAAGTGCGGAAAGTTGTACGTTTTTGAGAAAAAGAAATGTAAAATAATATCAAAAAACATTTGTTTATCAAAAATAAATGGAGCTACTTTTGAAGCAGAAATTATTAATTCCAGTGGTAAGTTGCATCGTAAATTTGGCCATACTAACATGCACACATACTTATATACATTCGTATGTACATATTTACGTTTATGTAGAATCAAAAGAACTTCTCGAAGGCCTATGCAAAAAGATGAATGAGGCGTTATACAGTAAGTATACAATTTTTTTCACCGTTATAAAAGAGTGGCAAACAAAAACTAATTTTTAGTTAAATTTTTCCATTTTAGAGGCCAAGAGCAAAACCTCTGATGGTGGCGTTAACAAAGAAAACATTCAAAAAGATTCTGGTAAGGTATCTTGATTATTATAAATAAAGTTAGATGTAATACTAATATTTTAATTTATATATCTCCTATTTTAGTTAAACAAAAATTGTCTTACAGCAGTGAAGTAAATAATAATGAAGTGGAACTTTATAAAGAATTAGGTAAGTAAATTACTTGAGTAATATTGCTGTAAGCAAATATTTCAAGAAAATTGGCAGTACTAAAGGGAATTTAAATTTCAGAGGGCCAAACCTCTGATGGTGGCGTTAACAAAGAAAACATTCAAAAAGATTCTGGTAAGGTATCTTGATTATTATAAATAAAGTTAGATGTAATACTAATATTTTAATTTATATATCTCCTATTTTAGTTAAACAAAAATTGTCTTACAGCAGTGAAGTAAATAATAATGAAGTGGAACTTTATAAAGAATTAGGTAAGTAAATTACTTGAGTAATATTGCTGTAAGCAAATATTTCAAGAAAATTGGCAGTACTAAAGGGAATTTAAATTTCAGAGGGCCAAACCTCTGATGGTGGCGTTAACAAAGAAAACATTCAAAAAGATTTTGGTAAGATATTTCGATTATTATAAAGTCGACTGTGTTACTAATTTTTAATTAAATTTTTCCACTTTTAGAGGCGATTGGAGCAGATGGCTTCGACCCCATTCTGAGTAAGTTAATAGATAAATCATAAATATAAGTTACAAATAGTTAAAACTGTTAAAAATTGAAAGAAAATCTGTGAAAAACTAAATATAATAAGTGAAAAAGTTAAAGTTGAGTTTACCGCCTTTAATTATTAAATTTAAGTTCGAAATCCATACTGCAGCGTACTCACATAGGGCATCTATGTTTAAAATTTGGTGTTATGTAGCTCTTGTACTATTTCAGTTCTAGATTTATATATAAAAGGCATCACGGAAAATCCTTAATAGTATCGTAATAGTGGAGGGGGGGGGGGGGGGGGTGAGGAGGTGAGATGAGAGTTGTTCATTCGGACGGGCAGACATGACTCAATGGACTAATCTCGTCACGCTGATCATCAATAATATATATTTGTAGGGTCTGTCATCTTCTGCATGTTACATTTTCACTTTGCACAAACCTAATAAGTATTCGCTTTTTTCATTTTATGTATAGAGTATACAAATGTCACTAATCCATAAAATACCCCGTGCGTCTACGAAATATTTCTTTCGTAATAAGTGAACAGAGTGTTTATAGCCTGTTTTTTTATAGTTTTATAAGATACGTTAATTTTAAAATGTTAATTTAGAAAGCTTAATAATCATTTTTAATAGATTCTACAGAACATTCAGAAATTAGTTCAAAAGCAGTTAGTGGCTATACCGACACTTTGGAATCACTCGGATCTAATTGGCCAGAATCTGCAACATACGATGGCATCAACTCATCATTAACAATAAACGAGTCATTTTCATATGAAGCTCAAGTACCTCCTTTTGATCTTAGAAATGTTGAAATACCTACAGCAAAAACACAAACAAAGAGCAAAACACACTTTTGTATGTTCTGCAAAAAATTGCAAACAAAATTTGCTCGACACTTACAAAACGTTCATATGAATGAACCAGATGTTAAGAAATTTATGGTTCTTTCAGCTAACGATCCCAATCGAAAAATTCTAATTGATTCTATTCGGAAAAAGGGAGATTTTATCCACAACACAGATCAAATCTATAATGAAGGTATTATAATAGCACCCCGCCAAAACCGAATTAATTCTCGTAATGGTCCACATGATTTAATAAGTTGTAAAGGTTGTCTTGGCTTCTTTCGGAAATCGACAATTCGTTGCCATATTCGCAACTGCCGTGTTTTTCATCCTAATGGTTCGAAAAACATGTTAAGGGATGGACGCAGCACAACTGGCTATATGCATAAAGCTGCAAATGACATATTGCGTCGAAAAGTTGTTCCAGTTTTAAATGACGATGATATAACGAGAAATTTATTATATGACCATTTGATCGTATTATTGGGAAATGCAGAATGCATGAAGTATAATGCATTACAACATGATATGATTCGGTCTCATTTAAGAGTATTAAGTAGATTGGTAATAGAATTAAAACAACAGTCGCAAGGCCAAATAAAGGAGTTAAAGGATGCCATTCATGCCAAACATCATGAACTTATGATGTCTAGCATTCCAACTGTTTCCCAGTGGGATAACGAACTTTTGCTTTTTAAAACCCCATCGGTTGCTACAAGTCTAAGCTCATTAATAAAAAAAATGTGCAAAAATATTATTGACACAATGTATAATAAATCAAGATGAGATAAATAAAAAATTAGTAAATGATTTTATTGTCTTATGGGAAACCGAAATACCTGTAAACATAAACAAAAAAGCAATCGAGGACCAAGCCAAAAAACGTCGAGCTGTAAAAACAATTTTACCTTTGAAAGAGGATATTAAAAAACTCTTTGATTTTGTTAACAAAAAATCCGCCGATGCGCTGAATGTTTTGAATAAGAAATTCGATTTTGAAGCGTGGAATAGTTTGATACGAAGCACATTAATAAGTCTCCAAATATTTAACCGTCGTCGGGCTGGAGAAATAGAACGATTGAGCATTGAAAATTATAACACCGCTCATGCAAACGAAGAAAATATAGACAAAGATGTTCTAAATAAACTGACAGCTAAAACGAAACAAATTGCAATGCAATACAAAAGGTTGACTCTTCGAGGAAAATTAAATAGAACAGTGTCAGTACTTCTTACTCCCTTTGATTATTTTTGTATCGATATGATCCTCAAACACCGCAGCGAAGCTGGTGTCGATGAAAAAAATTGTTACATATTCAGCGTTGCAAGCCCGAAATCACTTGGGAAAGAGTACATTCGTGCTTGCCCAATTTTAAAACAATTTGCTTATGAATGTGGTGCCAGCTGCCCAGAAGCCTTGAGGGGCACAATGCTTCGCAAACATTTAGCAACATACACTTCTATGCTAAATGTTGAAGATATTCAGATAGACCGACTCGCGAATTTTATGGGCCATCATAAAGAAATACATAAAAATATTTACCGTGTCCCCGCTACAATTGCGGAAATTACAGAAGTGTCCCAAATGTTAATGGCAGCCATTGGGAATAGCCCCGAACGGAATAATAAGAACCCAAAGCCCGGTAAGTTTCTATGTTTAGCAAAATTAGGCACAATACGTCACATATATTACTCTAACTTACATATTCTCATTAGGCGAATAAAATAAAATCCTAATTGAATTAAAATTTTTTTTTTTTTTAGCAGGTGAACTTTATGAGAAAGATAATTGTGCACAAGACATCGAAAATGAAGGTACAATATTGAAATTTTTAGATAATTGAATTGTGTATGTGTGTGACTGGGTACATGTATGATATATATAGTATATCACTTAGGGACCCGATCAAGCTCTTGGCCATTGATTTTCATTATTCGTCGAAAAGAGCTGAGACTCCTTTACAGTTTCATCTCCGGGCCCTGAAAGATATACTATAAGTCATATATGAACCATACTTTAAAAAAAAAAAAATTGAATTCAATTTTACAGCTGAACCTTTTGAGGATTCTGGATCCGAATACATCGACGAAAATGAGTCTGAAAAGTCAAAAGAGGAAATAGTTGAGCCGCAGCCAAATCGAAAACGCCGCAGTAGTAAGAACAAAAAACTATAACATTATACAAATATAAACCAAATTTTGAATGCATGAATTGTATTTTTATTATTAATTTTACTAATCTTATTTAATTTTGTATATAGCATCTCCTTTTGGCAAGACACAACGCATTCGTTGGTCGCCACCTGAGCGAAAAGAGATGGAAGAGGCTTTCGGCAATTTCGAATCGTTGAAAAGATTACCTAGCTTAGCAGAGTGCAATAGGGTTATTGCTGCATCCCAATATTTAAAGCGTCGTACTCCAGCACAGCTTAAGTCATGGATTGACAATCAGCAAAAGGCTGAGTCAAGAAAAAAATCAAAATAATTTTATAAAAAGAATTGCATTACGGAAATGCTAAAACAAAAATTAGTTTGCACTTTATAACTTGATACTTTTATATGTTTAACAAACAAAAATGAATGAAAATGTATTCTTTATTTTAAAAGTTTATGAAAGAAAATCATTTTTTTAGAGTTTAAACTAGTAGCATTACCGTAATGTAATTCTTTTTTATAAAATTATTAATATTTTTTTCTTACTGGAGCCTTCCGTAAACAATCAACCGTTAATTGTCAACGGAAGTCTCCGATAAAAAAAAACAATATTAATAATTTTATTACGGTAATGGTACTATACAAATTTGTTTGCACTATAAAACTTGATACTTTTAGATGTTTAAATAAAAATTTTATGAAAATAATTGCATTACGGAAATGCTACTACAAAATTTTTGTACACTTTAAAGTTTGATACTTATAGATGCTTAACAAACAAAAATGAATGAGAATTTTATATAATTTTATAAAAATGAATTGCATTACGAAAATGCTACCAAATTTTGATTGATACTTTTAGATGTTAAGCAAACCAAAATAAATGAAAAGTTTTTCTTTATTTTATAAGCTTATTAAGAAATTACATTTTTAGAGTACAAACAAAGAACTAAGACTCCTGCTGGATCCTCATTAATTAATCAATTACTTTGTCATGTATTCCAAGTTTTGTGTTCAAATATATTACATTTTCACAAATGCACAACAAAACAATTTGAAAAAATTGTTTAAAAATTTGGCTTATGTTGGGGATAATCACTTAATTATTTTCAAATATATCCATACATGATTTCAGAAACATATTGTGGTCATAAGGGTAGCTTCAAAATATTTATAAATTTGAAGGACTAATAAACATATAAAACCATAAAAATAATTGCTTAAGTTCCATTTAAATTTTAAGGACCTTTTTTTTATTGAGTGATGTCCTTATAAAGTACACCGAGCATGTTGAAATCAAACGTTAAAATTCAAATCCATCAATCCCATTGAATTAGCTAAATACATACATATATGAAGAAAATTTTATTTAATTATTTTCTATGTCCTAAAGGTATATATTAAACTCGAGAGTATAAGTATATCATTTAAGGTTCGTTTCATATTATTATTCTAGGCTCCGAAAAATATACGTTAAGCATAATGAATATATAATCATTAAAATTCAAACCTGGTTTTATTTCAATATACATATACATACATATATATGTATACATTTAGGGGACTGTAACGTGCAACGGTTGTGCATACCTTCTCAGGTATGGAAGCGGATGGACGTATGTCATTAGACGGAGTACGCGCTTGCTCATCGGCTGCATGCTCGTCGGCAAATGGTGTGGGTCAAAATGTTAACCGCCAAGACAATTACTTCTCCGTGCTATAATAATCGTATTTTCAAAAAGAATTCGCGTACTTATAGAAAGGATTTATGGGGATTTGGGGATAGTGAGGGATGATTCTATGGAAATGGGACAGCAGACGACAGAGTGAAGAAAAGATAGTGTATACAGACAGGCAGACGGACTTCCTCGCTTTTTGACGCACCTAAGGGTACGTATGCCCACCCTACCACGATCCTGATGGTCCACTGAAATCTTCAGGATCCCTACGAGTAGTCCACGGTAGCCTAATCTATATCATTTTTGTGATGCATGGGTTCCCTAGTTGGCGTAAACTAACACATGTTAAACTTTATAATTCATTTATTACCACAAATTATTGGCTAAGACAATATAACTATAATAAGAATTCATATATGGCTTTAATATTATTATTGGATAGAGAATTGGAGTTGACAAAAGGCTTAAGCCGAATATATAAACGTGTATCAATAATTTCAAAGATATGCCGCTATGCTTTAGCATTAGGCGTTAGCCGTAGTAAGCATTTTTGGCTCTTCGGCCTAGTAATTTACAATTTATAAATTATTTGTGTGTAAGGTATATGTGATATTTGAACAAAACTTGTAACATGCAAGAAACAAAGGTAGGTCAGTAGCAAAGCAACAGCTGTTTACTGTACCATTTTCAAGGTTACGCAGTCATCATGGGCAAAAGATAAGCTTTCGCACCCAAGCCGCAAAGAAAGGGGGAACAAAAATAATAATAAAACACTTACAGTTTGCTGCATCCCACGGCGAAAGATCTTTCGAGTGTAGACGAGACGGGGGTAAGCTGTAGAGGAGTAATTTTCAATGTTGTTGTTCTGGTGTCGTAAACAGGTGTTTGTTCTGCTCTCGCACGATAAGCTAAATAATGTTGTACAAACTTATAAGTACTAATTCAAAAGGGGAGTATAGGCTATATGATTTGATTTGCCTTCACTTCATGTTCAAATAAAATGGGTAACAAAATAAAATTCATAATTTTTAAAATTATGTTTTTGCCAGCTTGCACATCGATATGTTAATTTACAAATTAAAGCATTATTTGAACATGATTGAAGTGCATCACTTAGACCATTGAAAGATTATGTAATCTTTTCAGCAGCTATCCACATGGGCAAATTCCATGGTGCAAATCCTGGGGCGACGGCACAGGTATCCACCTAGAGTCCTCTAAGGGTTTCCCGCCGACCACTGGTAGTCCAAAGACAATCAAATTCGGGGGTCGTTCAATTTAATCTTCTTTAGGCTGATCTTGCAAGCGATGCAGCCATATGTAAGTCCGCGTTTTAATGCTCGCCTTGGCAGACTGAAGTTACGAAAGCTTTTAACTAAAAGCTTTCATAGTATGTCTGGTTTCTTTTTCAAACCCTCTTCTCTTGTTCGCTCCTCTGCTAAGCTTAAGCTATGGGCTTGTTGTTTGTATTAAGCTTAAGCAAAGGTGCTAAATCCTAATAGCAAAAGACAAAAAGAAACCCGCTTGCAATCTGCAATTTCATGGGACGGAACCAAAAGACAATAGTTACCCAGAGGGGAAAAGCACCTTGATGATAGACCACTTCGCCGAGACTTGAACAATAATGTCCCGAGCTATTGCGGCTAGAAAAACATCCGATGGCAATAAGAAGTCGATTTAAAGGCGCGACTTCTGCCGATCCAATTTAAGCCACTCAAATTTGGGTTAAATAAGGCACAAATGAATATTTTTTTAGGTGTTTAACGTAAATTAATTAACAACTTAGTTACTTTTATTTCACTTTATGTGTATTTTATTTTCTGGCACTGACTTTATCAGAAATAAAACTTGGCGCGGTTGAATATAAACAATCTATGCGCACATCCGACTGCTAGGGCGATCACGAGGAGAAAGGCAGACCTAGGAGACTTTCACGAACAGGAAACCTCGTCTTCCGGAAATTTCTATTACCTCCTTCGTATTCAGCCTTGACCTGTCATTTCTTTCTAACAATCAACTCCCACTGTTGCCAACTATCATTCCTGCAGCAAGTGACAGTTTCGACAGATATATATTTACTCCGATACCTAACTGGGGGGGAGTTTAAATAAACAATTATGTCTCAAATTTATTTTTTTTTCCTATCTTAAAGCTTGCTTAGCCAAAAATAAACCAACGTAAGTTTATACCTTTTTTCTTACTCTTTCCGTCAGCGCACTATTTTCGCCACACAATTAATAGTTGGCGTTGCATACTTCTACGCTGATAAATTTAAGAAGAAGAAAAAAAGAAATCGTTCAAACGAAAAGCGGCCCACTACACTCCCTCCTGCCAAAATCACACTTTGGTGTTGAAAGCGCCAAAGAGTGATACCCGCTTGGAGAGCGCAGTATTAAGTTCACATAGATATTCACTGCTTTATATCCTTGGCATGATATTTTCCGACGAACCGACCATTTAAATCTTCCAACTCATAATAGCTGTTACCGAGCTTCGCTTTGCTTCTAGCCTTTACAAACGTCGGTGCTAGTTTCGAACTAAAGCCTTTTACAAACTGACTTTGTTGAAAATTACGTCTGTAAACTTCCTGTCCTACATTAAAGCTTATTTCTCGACTACGAAGATTATAACTTTTTTCATTCCGTATATGCTGCTGTACCATACCCTTTTGGGCTGATTGACGAATGATATCAAAAGAATCTGCTCTATTAAATCTTACTGATCGATCTTCTAACAGCTGCAAATTGCGCAAGAGTTGATAAGTTGCACCATTGGTTATCATATGCTGACCAAAGGCAACCCGATAGGGACTATTATTTATTGCGGAATGTGTGCTAGACCGTAACGCACAACTTATGTGGCTGAGCATTTCATCCCAATTTGACTGATCCACATTAATATACGACTTAATCGCGGCGATCACGGAACGATTTACGCGTTCAGATGCATTCGCTTGTGGCGCATGTACAGCGGTATAAAAATGCTGTACATCGT